TAAATATTATGATACTTATGTTACATCATGAAATTTCAGAATGTTTTAGATAATATATATATACATAATAGTTTTACAATGGTAAATGTTTATATATTTTCATGGACCAGCCTGTCAATTTTTCTTTTTTCTTTTTTTTTATATATATATATATTTTTCTCGTGTGCATCGTAGAACGCCTGTTCTTGGAAAAATAAAAGGATTCGCAAAGTGTATAAACGAGAAGTATCGATAGACAGTTGTTCTCGTGGTCAACTTGTTTTTTCTTCACTTTTTGCTCTTGTTTTTTCCCCCTCATCGTTCTCAACTCTGACATCATTTATCGCATAATCGATATTTGTACCCATGATTTATTCGTTTCACTGTTTTCTGATCCTTTTATTACGCTTGACACATAATATAAGACACGTTTTCTATTCAAAGACTATTATTCGATAGCCGTGTTCATCGTGAAATTAGTTAGACTGCGGATTTTTGTGCATTGAAGGGAAATTTGATAGTACAGAAATACTTAAAATGCATAAAGTATAATATCTACTTGTTATAATATTTATCAAACGAGACAATTGCCTTGTTGCTCCATTTATAAATTATATTAATAAAATTCTGAATTTGCACAAGTATCCACGGTCTATCGATTATGTAACTTGTATTATTTTTGATTAATTATTCCAACATGGACCTGAGACTAGCTGCAAGGGTATTTAGAAGATTCTGTCTGAACACGACACGGCTCTTCTACTTAAAGTTTGCCCATTATAAGTGGTGGCGCTAGTGGGCTCTCACGGAACTACAAAGAACTCATTTCTCATTATTTATTTAAATAATTTATGTGAATTATAAATATCTGAACTTAGTAATGGTATAAGTAAAGATTTTTTTTTAAATAATTTAAAACAACAATTGCTTATATATATCGCTTACAAGATGTATATAAGATATGCCAATGTGAATATAATAGTAATCCAGTCGATCACACTATGTTATCTTAAGTTGTCATCATTTCTTATCGCTGCTCATTGTAACTGTAACGACAATAAAAAATCATATATTGTACCGCATTCTCATCATTTCATTTCATAACTGCCTCCTCTCGAAGTCGTTGCTTCCTGGTACCTTGATATCGCTTCACCAAGTTGTCCTCCAATCGGTAGAAATACTTTTTTATTCCTTTATTCTTTTGAGATACATGTATTTGACAATCGAGGTACATAGACAATTATTGACATGACTATTCACACGCAAAATAGATTGTTTTCGTGTACGCATGTGTACTTAAATTTTCAATAATAAATGAATTCTCAATATTTATTGCATCGTGTTAAACACATTTAAAACACTACGAATGTAAATTATTTGAAATAGTTAAGATATATTTTACGATATTTTATTAATTAATATTTTGCAACTTGGAAGCCGTTCAATTATTGAACAAATTAGTTATAATTGACTTGCCGTTATTTATAAAAATTGATATGTATGAAGTAGTAGTGATTAAAGAATAATATTAATATTGAAGTGACCATTGTCAATGTCACATTGAGAATACGTAAAAGTCGTCCAATCTGTCTGAGAAGTTTAATATAGAGGTGAATTAATTGAATAGGGTGCGAGGAACACAGGAGAGAAGCCAATATAAACGGAGAGGAGGGAGCAGAAACCCAGAATACTTCGGTTAAAAATAATCAGCTCTCCTCTTACTGTGGATGGTCAGAAATTTGGGAGCAAGGTCAATCGATAGCAACACAACTTTCTAAACATGATGTCTATTGCTCGGATTATTTAAATATTCTCTCGAGTCGTTTGCGAATGTATGATTACTTCTTTTAATCCTGAATTGGAAACGCGAACGATTTCCTCGCCTGTTTATGCAATGTTTTTAATCCTCTGATAAAGACTCACAGAGATTAATTTCGTAGAAAAGAAAGAAAGAAAAAAATATCGCGGGGAAAAAGAGTTGAATTTCCATATAACGTCGTTTCGTTTAAAGCTAAGCTTAAGGTCAATTAAAGTTTTGCAAGAAATTCGAAATTGTTTCACACGGTATATGTTAGTCAAACATATTAACGAACGCAAGTAAAATACATGATCTGATTTCAAGAAAGTAAGTTCTGAAAGAGTCATGATTATAGTAGCGTTAAGGTTAGGATACTTGTGTCTTACGATTTTAAATTATAAAAAAAGATATCCAACTGTTACGATAATATGTGTGTAATAATGCGTTTTTTAATCACGTTCATTATTGTGTATGCTATTCTGTCTCGTCATAGTCGTAAAATTCAAACACGTACGCGATGCGCTTATGAAAAATCCCCTAATACCAGGAAGAAGCCTACCACCTACGTTTTCGTTATCGAATCCATCAGCATGAACGAGAAGAGGAAAGGTTTGAGACAAGAAGACAAACCTTGGAAGAACATTTTTTGCGATTGGCATGTTGGCAGTGTTGTTAGCTGGTTGTGTGGCTACATTGTATATACGACCGCTATCGGCACTGCAATTATGACGATCGCAGGTCCGCGGCCGTGTGTGATTGAAAAAACTCGATTTCAAATGGTCATCGTCGAATAATGAGAAACGGAGATTTCAATCGATATTTTATTGAGTCGAAACGTGTTTTTTATATTTCATGGAGATCAGAGGCTGTGTTTTACCGACCACTGTTTTAATTATTCTTTAAGTTACTTTTCATTTAACGTTAACTGTGACTTCTCTGACCGGTGATCGGGAGCGTTATAAGCCAGACGAAAAGCAAGCAAAATCAGTTTCTAAAATAAATGTACACACGCTTTTAGCATTTTGTGTGATTGATTCACGGTGACTTACATTGGCTGTTTCTCTCTGTTGCAGATCTGCCTACGTATCCTTCGGAGGATTGCTGATGAGGTTACAAGGTGACGCAAACAATCTACATGGTTTCGAGATCGATCAGCATATGTATCTACTAATGAAAAAATTAGCGTTCTAACTGCGTTACACGTGTCGCAATTATCGATTTAGGAAATATGTATGCATATTAAATATATATATATATTCTTTTCTTTTTATGGATGGTGTTATCATTATCAAAGGCAAATATGATCAAACTGTTAGAGGTTATTAATGTTCGCGATGTGATTGCACGGAAAAATGTATATTGTAATAAATGAGGAAATAGTACATTGCGATAAAAGGGAAAAAGTATTCTGTTCCCCGGTTGATTGATCACTATTCATATTTTCCAGCTCATTAATCATTACTTGAGCATTATTACTGCCACTGTCACGTCCTAAGGGAGGGGGGGCTCTGCTATTTTTGTAAATAAATGCCAGGATTTACGGCGCTATGGGAACACGGCGACGGTTTTGAGGTCGTGTCGATAAGGTAGGGTATGGAAAGAGAGGGAAAGGAAGCGTTTTTCGTCTCGGAATTTGCCAGATTCCATCATTGTGGGGGGAGGGTTTGATGGTGGCGACCCCTATCCCAGATGCTTAGTTGTGGGGGCCTCTAAAGGCTGGGTGTAGAGACGGCACCCATCCCTAGAGGGGTCCGCAACGATGGTCACAACCTCGCAATCGCTTACGGTGCGTGGTCAGCCAACACACACCGGCAAATTTGTGATTTTTGTACGACTTGAACTTGTATTTGTTTTTTTGGGCGTTCACTGCAGAGAATCGACAGCAGATGAGGCTAACATCCTGGTTATCGGCCAAAGAGAATTTGAGAATTGAGAATTGAAGCACACGCGATGACCCGCAGTGACGTAGCAACTCAAACATCAGGAGACATCACACCACTACGATGTTAGATAAATGCTAATTAATAAACGTATTTTTCCACGTAAGAGAATAATCTTCTAAATGTAAAATGCCTGCCTGTCCAAATTTTTTCCATTAAAAGAGCCATTGATTAAATTGTTGGTGGTGGTTCCATCTATTAATCAAATAAGGTACAAATTTAAATGAGTTGTTCTGCATCATGTTACCAGTTGAATTAATTAAAGCCAGTTCCTGCAATTGGATTATAAAGATTCGTAATTCGACGTTCCTTTAATTAAAAGCCTTCCTTTAATTAGATATTTAGTTAGTAACATCCAATTTCCAATAGTTTTCATGAGATCTGGAGAGTAAGACAGACTTGCAGGAGGGAATGTTTTGTAGATGATGTGCGTACGGGACGATGCCATTTTGGAGAACAACGGAGCCAAGATTAAATACGTGGTCCAATTGGAAGGCGCGGAGCTTTCAGAGTGTGAGCACGAGAGCGAGAGACGAAAAGAATATGTATAAGAGAGACACGTTAGAAGGAGGAATAGCCAAGAACTAATTTATGTAATTAAACTCGCGATATTCCTGACCTTGAACGGTTGAATGCAAGTCGAGTGTGGAGGCCTGGCTTGAACAATATGGCATGAGTGCACTTGGCGTGGGTTCGTCTCGAGCCCCCTTCCTCCGATACGGAGGTTCGATGTTGCATAACATACACATCGCGTTGCAAGATGGCTGCCACTTAATAAGGGTTTGATCCTAAATAGATTGGCCCAATGACATACATATAATTTGCTTTTATCTGACCGTCCGCACCGCGAAATTGCGCAACACGTGCACACGCCAACATCGACGGAGACAGAAATCAATAATTGCGAGCGACGAGTGTCGCCATCGCGATGAAAACAGTCTTTGCAGTCGGTAACTTAGACAACTTGGAGATTTATCTGAAAATATGATGAATTCAGATACTTCGTCTGTGCCAAGGGACAGAATAGACATGAGATCATGTAAGATTCCGTTTCTAGCGCTTTGAAATATGAACCCTGAAAAAAGATCAGACTATTTTTTACGTTTTCTTCATTTAGTTCATTCATTGTAATTAGGTTTATAAAATTCTTTTAGATTGGATTGTACGTTTCATGTTAAGTGCAAAAGTTTCATAAATTCACAATTCAAGATAATACAAAACGTGTGTGAATATAGTACTGATATAGTATATTCTATAATAGACTATCCAACAGCTGTTAAAACCCGATTAAATGCAGATTTGCATTCAAAATTTTACATTAAATTTATTATGTATACGTTTCATTATGTTTACGAACAACTTTAGTTCCAAATTTCGAATATAGTTCGTGAGAAATTAAATATTACATTAAACTCGTTTTAAGAATACGCGCGCCGCCATACGAAGAAAATAGGTGTCGCCATCTATCGGTTTCGTTTCGAACTATTTGATGGGAGAAGTGATGTGCCGGATTTTTCATTTTTATCTTTTTAGTTCCAGTCGGTTTTGAAAAAGCCTTAGGTGGCAACACCGTTGCTAGACAAAGAGCACAACAATATATAGTGTGCAACAGCAATATATTTTAGTTCTATCGTTTCAGCGCTAGCATTTATATCTATAAATTGAACAATTTTTGTAAAAAAAAAAAACTAATTAAGAGAATTAATTTGCGAACTTTCGCAGTTATATCTCACGAATCAGACTCTTATCTTACACGCCATTTGATTTATAAAAATTTAATAATTTTTCTCAACAGATCGAAGTGCCATTTGAAGATGAATAGATTATTCTAGCGAAAATGATTCAATGCATGACTTTCTTCATTTCAAATATTAACGAAACTTAATAATAAATTTGTATTCTACAGTTTTTTAATTAATATATTATGTTTAAATAAAACGTTTATATATAAATTAATGAAGTGTTGCTTTATAAAATTCTATATTTTGCGATATCCTGTTTTCTACCTTATTTGTAATTTCATATGAAAATTTATTTTTAATTTAAACTGTTATTATACCAAATAACAATAATATGTGAAAATATGGAGTATAACATAGTTTCATACATCGGATATAATCTATTTTTAATTAAGGTTTTAATTAATATTCGATTAACAATTCTAGAAAATGAAATATTTATTTTATTCTTACAAATTAAGACAATTGGTATTTATGTACAACTATGCGTAAATTCTGTTACAATAAAATAGTGAAAGCTTTATACTGAATAATATTAAGTAATATAATATATTTTATTTCTTTTAGAATTAATTCAAGAATTAATGTGTATTCTTAAAAAATATTAAGTTTTGTAGTGATGATTACTCTCAAACATTGATCAAACGCAGTACAAACGGCCAGACCCTGTTTGTCTGGACTCCAATCCAGAGAACTAACAGGTTGTGAGGAAACAGTAATGTTTTGTAAAAGAGTTAGATCACCGACGACTCCTTGCTCAATGCCATCTGCGTCTACTATTTTCCGCTTCTCTGGATAATTACTAAAAACGATTCAACGATGTTAAATAAATCCGTAAAAAAAAAAATACAAGTAAAAATATAGATATAAGATATATAGTTACTATTTCCATAAGCAAAGACTTCCTTCTCCACCACAAGTAACAAATATTTCACGATTTTGTGGCAAGTGTCTGACCAACCATACCGTTGCATTATGTGCCTGAAATAATAGGAATCACGTTGAACAGAGATTATTTTAATTTTTACACTTCAATCTTACTTTCTCAGTCAAGTAAGCAAATCCTTTTTTAGAATTGTGCGTCTTCAAATCAAACAAATAAAACTTTGACTCCAATGTCGTGGCTACTAATTTATTCATTGGAATATCCTTCCTATCAAATTCAATGCTACAAACACCATTTTTAAGATTACTCTCCCACAGAACAGCCATTGCTTTCAGATCGAACATTTTTACATCTCCGTTGTCATAACCAGCAGCTACAACTCTTTCCTCAGAGTTGTATGAATTTCCAAATGCAACTGTCCAGCAATCCCTACGTTCTTCGCCCTCTTTAGGTTCCATTACAGCAACTGGCCGTCCTTTCTGTCTAGGATCCCAGACTTTGACACTTCCATCTCTGGAGCCAGTTACTAATTCCGGTGCACCACACCCAATACTTTGTCCAGCTACACCATCAATACTGTTTATAATCTCATCATGGGCAACAGCAGTATAAATTGGTATCGAAGGATCTTCTAGGTTGTAGATGTTCAATTTACCCTAATAAAGGTGACTTTAAATCTTCTCTATATAGGAATAAATTGTTAAAGTTTCCTTTATAATTTCATTTATATTCAAATGGTAATATATTTTTTGTATTTTTTATATTTTCCATTAATACCTGAAAATCACCAGTTGCTAGATATCTGTCTTTCAGACTGGATGCTTTAAAGGTCCCGCATTTTATGGGCTGCGATCTTTCGATATCCTTAAGAAGATTCAATTCACCGCTGGAAACTTCATAGATTTGTATAATACCGCTACCACGAGGCCGTGAACCCATAACCACAAATTTCGCGCTGCACGGAATCCATTTCGCATCGAATAAGGAATAATTTACTGACTTTTCGATGTGACAAATTATTTGTGGTTTCTCGAATTTATCCATGCTTTCAAAATTCACCGCACAATAAAATCACTTTTAGGTAAAATTCGCGTGACTATAACAGAAGTTAGTTCCAAGTATCCATAAACAAACTGGGCTACCATCTACCGCGTGGTATTTAAAAATAGAGGATTTCAAATGTCCCGGCGGAAGATTTTTATTTCATATAAACATCATGGTACAAAATTCCTATTAAAAACAATAAATTTGTTAAATACATACTTAGATGCAAAATTTAATTCATTATTAATTAATGATGTTAATATTAATTTTAATATTAATGATGTTAATATTAATTAATTTTAATATCTTCAATCATATTTTAATTTATTCATCAGCTTCAGTATCTTCATCCGTTGGTATATCAACAGCGTCAGTGGTATCAGTAGGAGCATGTAATTGTTTCTTAAAGAACTCGAAGTATTTTAGTAACTGTTTATCAGAAACTGATATCTGAAAGAAATATAAATAAAAAATATAAATATAAATTTGTAGTGTATAATGAACAATAATTTGTATGTAAAATATTTACTGTTTCCATGACTTTGTTAATGGCTTCCTGTAAATTCTTTTTAAACTTGTCATCGTCTAAATCTAAATGCAAATCTTTTAAAGATTTAATAAGAGTTTCTTGATCAATTTTACTGGTTGTATTTAACATTTCTGCCAAGATAGTAAAAACGAGATTATTATGCGCACAGTAGTTTTCTGTTCCAGGTTTACGAAGTTCGTGCCTAGTTAAGTTCAATATGAATCTGGATATATCGTAAGGATCAATTTCTTGTAAGGGACTAATATCCGGTGCATTACACAAAATTTGTAAAGTCGGTAGGTATGCTTCTTCTAATAGCATCTGAGCGTCAGGTACAAGAGTGACAAAATTATCGAAGAAACCACTTAGACATTGTCGAAGATAAAAGTCGTTATCATTTACGGGATTATAACATAAAATTATTAATCTTGACAATAAACTTGAACTGCTGATTCGTCGATGAAGTAATAATTTACAAAGACCTTCTGTAGCAACTGTTCTCAGTCCTTGATCCTATATTTTTAACAGAAATATTAAATGTTGTTGTTTATTTGAGATAAATGAATATGTAAATACTTACTGCATTATCTAACAATCCTGCTAAAATTTTAATAAAGTTACAGTTGCCCCGTTCTGCTTCTGATCTATGTACAGACGATAGAGAAATCTCTGTATCAGTATCAGTAAATAATTTAGTACGAGATCTTTCAGATCTGTTAACAGTATTGTCATTTGCATTTTCTAACATATCGAAATACTCAAGACCGTATAATAATAAAAGATCGAAGATTCCTTTTAAAGCAGCAATCCAAATATCTAAATTTTCTTGTTCTAAAGAAAATTGTAAAAACAACATCATAATATGTTGTTTGGCTAGTTCCTTATTTAATATACAACAAATACTGACAGCTTTTAGTGCCAATATGTGTACTGTATCACTCGGATGCTGAAAATGACAATTATAGAAAATATTATAAGAAATTTAAAATTAAAAAAATTTATATTACTAGATTGTGGATGTTTATGCAGATTTATAATCTGTTTAGCGTTATTCAAAAAAATCAAATAGTTATTTCTTTAATTACTATTACAATATATAGTTTAGTTTAAATATTTTATATAATTCTGAATGCTATATACATTTTGCAAACTTTTACACCATGAAACTTTTCATAAATGCATAAATATCTGCAATCTAAATATTAGATACTTACATCTAAACTATCAAGAGCTATTTGCATAAAACTTTTAAGCGTTGGCGTTAATGCAGTCACAGACTGCATCATTGTACATATTATAGTCAAACATTTTATCATTGTTGCAGAATCACTTTTTTCCTTGATTTCTTCATTAATTATAGTTTCCGTTTGAGGTTTTTCTGATAATTTTATTATTTCCTCATTCAATTTGTTTATTTGATTTTTTAAGTTGTCTGCTTCCAAATACTGTTTATCCTGTATTGCCTGATATTCTTCTTCTTTTAATTCTAATAACTGTACTTTGAGTTTTGCTCTCTAAAAAACATTTTTCATAAAAAATAATCTTAAATTTCCACATGCCAGACATTTGGCACGTGATATTAATATGTATGTATTTAACTTACTTTTATATTAATCTCATGTTGTTGTTCTTCTGAGATTTGTGTTTGTGTCATAACTTCTTTCAACGGCAATCTAATTTCACTAATTATATTAGCTAAAGTATCCAACCTAGTATGTACGTCAGGTATAATATATTGTAAATGTGCTACTACACATTCAATAATTTTTTCAGTCCAAAAATTGCCCATCAAAATATTACGTATTAAATCGTTCAAGTTTTTTCGTCCAACTTCGTCAGATAAGTCATAAGTTGTTGTTATTTCAAATAACTGTAATAGGATAAATTTATGCATATGATTCACCCATGTTTCGTTTTGTGGGGTGGATATTGTCATAAGAAAATCAGAAATATAATTGCAGAATGTCGATAACTCTGGTAAAATTCTTTCCAGTTCCTCTGTACAAGATCCATTTTGTAAATATTTTACTAAACACCTCCAGTATAGTACAGTTTCACTAGTTAATTTATTCACTGGAATTAATTTAGTTTCTTTATCTATTGGCAATTGTTCTAGTAATGTATTTAATGAAGTATTCCTAATCAAATAAGAAAATATAAAAATTAGACATTTAATATCTCAATATTTAATTCTATATTGTATATATATATATGATTATGTATTAAATTAAATGCTTACTTAAATAAAGAATCTAGAGCTAAAACAGCTACACCTGTACCAATTTCAGCATCAAGAGCTTTTATTAGATCAATGAAATCACCCTTAAAATGTCTTAACCATGATGGTAATAAAACATTTTCAACAGTATTTTTAACCATATCAGATCTATCTTTCAAACCATCATTTAGCAACTGATCCCTTTGTGTAATAGTTAAAGATCTTACTGTTATTTTACTAATGAAATCATATGCTGCTTTTCGAACTGTTTCATCCACATCTCTGGTTCTTCTCAGTACTACTTGCAGAGTACTTTGATTCTTTCCCATGCTCTTTAGTACTGCTTTGCGAACCATAGCATTTGGATCTTTGCTGGCATGAAATATATATACTTTTATAACAGAACACTGATCATCTGTAGGATCTTGAAGTCTTTGTAAAGCAAAAACTGCTTGAGCTCTGATTTTTGGCGACTTATCCATTAACCGCTTCATCATAGATGAAATAATCTTATCACAGAGAGCATCATCAATAAAAGCCTGATCACCCAAAGAATTTAATAACATATTCAAAAAGTGGCAAATGCGAAATCTCACTGCGATGTCTCTTGCACAATGATTTGTTAAAAGAAAGTCAAATAACTTGGTGAGAAACGGACACATCGGTTCCTCAGAGTCATCATTGTTTAAACTTGAATATAAACTAGCAGCAAATTTAGCAACAAACTCCAGAGTATTCTCAACTCGTGGATGTCGTTGTGCGAAAATTAGCGGAACCTTGAAACAGGATATGAAAGAGTTCCAAAAATTTGTTTCATTACTCTAAAATCGAAACAAAAATTATTAGTAATTATAAAACATGCAAAACGTTTATATTGAAACCAATAAATGCATAATGAATTCAAAATTGTATTACAATCTATTCTTACCCGTTCGTAACATTTCTTTAAATTTTTTATATTACTTGGATGACAAGTCTTATTAAATTGAACATTATAAAATATTTCTTTTATATTGTTACATGTTGTTCGTGTCATGCTTATAAAATAATACGATTACCGCTTTAAATATAAAAACGTATGTAGGAAACGCCAATATAAAAACCATTTATTCACGACGAGAACGTTGACAATTTAAATATATTCTCCTCGTTGGTCGAGATGTTCTCTGCTACGAATCAGAGATCGCAAGACGAGGATAGCAAATTGATGATATTGAAACTGAACAGGATAAAACAAACACTATTTGAGTTTGTTACAGTGGCGTAGAATCTTAACCTAAAAATATGTTTAAGACAACTATGTTTAACATATATATCTTGGTAACGTTATTCTGATGAAAATGAATATAAACATGACCAGATTGGTCTCTTAATTAAAAAAATTAACTTACACAACTTTGTCATAAAGTAACTTAACCTCAATTTCATACGTTCATAAAAACGTTTGCAATTATAACTCATTGTTAGGAATGAAGATCCAAGGGGGATTTTATAAGCATCCTACGACTATGTTTAGAAGTTGGAGTGAGCGAAGAGTGTTTATAAACATAACCTCGTATTATTTATATCATGTTTGCTTAAACAAATTATAATTTTACAATTCGTAAAGAATATTACTTTGTATCGATTTAATGACATATCTTATATCATAGTTTATTTCTTATTTGAGATAAAGACAGATGAAATAAACATGTTTTAAATAAATAATATTTTTCATATTACATTTTTGTTAAAAATATTTACTAACATTTTTTATGTTATATATATATATGTATTAAATTAAATTGTATTAAAATTTTATTTTTAATAATATTTACTTCAAAAAAACGAAAAAAATTAATAAAGTAGTTCATTTGTGTTGGATAGATATAAGATATAATTGATGTTGGATAGATATAAGAATTGAGAAAAATGGATATAAAAAACGATAAGGAAGAGGTAATTTTTTATGAATTTAATGATATAAATAAACAATATAAATAATAAATTTTTACTTTACAGTTACAATTTGAACTACCACCCATTTGGCCTGACATTAGAACTGAATTAAGGGAATATATAGAATGTTTGGACAATCTTCCAATGTATCATTTAGATAATACACAATGTTATTGGCCAAGAAAACTTGATATTCTATCTTTTTTGAATTGTGATATAGCACCGCTTGGTACCACATTAAAATTTGATCGTGATCCTGTTAATGGAATGCTTGGGAAAATGCATGAAGTACCTTTAAAGTCAGCAGGTGAAACTACCCGAAATTCTATGTCTATGACTCGTGCACCAGGCCCACATAGTGATAATATTAGAGGTATTTAATAAGAAAGATTTTACGATAAAATATGACAATGTCCCAATAGATTAAATTAATTAAATTAATGTTTATTAAACATATATAAATGTAGGAAATACTAGTAATATTCCCTTTTGGCCTGGTGGTTTTGACGAACCAGAGATAGTAATGGATTCATCAATAGAAGAGATTGACTTTGAAAATAATTTAAGAACCTTAGCAAAAGGATTCAGTGCTGGTATAGAATTCAAAAGTGACAATTGTACTCCAAAAGAGGGAACAATGACCGACACAGAACAAATATCGTCCGAATCAGAGATAAATGAAATTGAAAGGATAGCAGACAAGATTAATCTAATGTCTATTATAAAAGAAGAGCAAGATGAATTTAATTTTTGGAAGACAGAAACAAAGGAAACAAAAGAAGAAAAAAGAACCAAAACTTCAGATATTCAGAAAGCTGCATTGGATGAAATTGCTACATTGTTAGAAGAAACAGATATTCCTATTTTAAATATCTCGGAAAAACGTGAAGAAACTGCCAAATCAGAATGGGCAGAACAATTAGATGTGTCTGTTCCAATAACTGATTTTGAAAAACGTATTCCTGAATTAGCAATGAGTTTTCCGTATGAGTTAGATACTTTCCAGAAACAAGCTATTCTTAAATTAGAAGAAGGATGTAATGTGTTTGTTGCCGCACATACATCGGCTGGAAAAACAACAGTAGCGGAATATGCTATTGCATTAAGCCAGAAACATATGACAAAGTAAACTTTTGAATTATACATATCTTGAATTATATGAATGTTAACGAGTAATAGTTAATTTTGTTTTTTTTTTTTAGAGTTATTTATACTTCTCCTATAAAAGCGCTTTCAAACCAAAAATATCGCGATCTTAAAAGGAAGTTTGATAGTGTAGGACTATTAACAGGAGATTTACAAATTAATTCAAATGCTTCTTGTCTTATAATAACCACGGAAATTTTACAGTCTATGTTATATTGTGCATCAGAAATATTGAGAGATTTAGAATTTGTTATATTTGACGAAGTGCATTACATCAATAACGACGAGGTAAATAAAACAAATTTAGTGTTACAATTTTATATTAAAAACTGATCATGATTATATTAAAAACTGATCTCATTCTTATATTGTATTAGCGTGGTCATGTTTGGGAAGAAAGTGTGATACTTTTGCCACAAACAGTTACTCTAGTAATGTTGTCTGCAACTGTGCCCAATCCTCTAATATTTGCTGATTGGGTTGGTCGGACAAAAAAGAAAAAAACGTATGTAATAAGCACTTTAAAACGACCTATACCACTGCAGCATTATTTATATACTGGAACTGACGGTAAAACAAAGGATAACAAATTTTTAGTTTTAGATGAGAGCGGTCAATTTTTTTTAGATGGGTAATCACTGATTTTTTAATCTTTAATTTGGTATATAAGTTTTTAATTAATAATTTTATATGGTTATGTTAGATGGTATAAAGCAACAACGACGCAAAATCCGAAAAATCAAAATAATAAAAATGTTAAAAAACCAGTACAGCGACAGATGACTCCAAAACAGGAACAAGTATTATGGAATGCTTTCATAAGTCACTTAAAAACTCAAGTACGTTGAATCTACTAATGTACATTGATTAAATATTAATTGTTTATTTAAATATATGTAAATAATTATTTGTTGTTCCAGAACATGTTGCCTGTGGTTGTTTTTATGTTATCACGGAAGCGTTGCGATATGAGCGCTGTACTATTAAGAAACGTTGATCTTACAACTGAAACTGAAAAGCACACTATTCGAACTTTCTTTCAAAACAATATTCGGCATTTAAAAGGCACAGACAGAGAATTGCCACAAGTACTTATGATGCAAGAATTATTAGAAGGTGGGATTGGTATCCATCACAGTGGCATTTTACCTATTTTGAAAGAAATAGTAGAAATGCTATTCCAAACTGGAGTTGTAAAAGTCAGTTTCTCAATGTATATTAATAAATTTCATGACATATTTAATCTTTTTAAGTTTCAAAAATTGTTATTTTATGTTGTTATAGTTACTATTTGCAACAGAAACATTTGCAATGGGTGTGAATATGCCAGCACGCACTGTAGTTTTTGATTCCATAAAAAAATATGATGGTACTAATTTTCGGATACTTTATCCTTCTGAATATGTACAAATGGCTGGTCGAGCTGGACGTAGAGGTCATGATACCGCTGGAATGGTTATAGTCATGTGTCGAACATCTGTGCCACATTTTAATGAATTAAAAAATATGATGTGTGGACAAGCTCAAAACTTAGAATCTAAGTTTAAAGTAACATATTCCATGGTTTTAAATCTGAGGAGATTAAATGAATCTGTGACTGTTGAAGCAATGATGCGAAGATCATTTAAAGAATCGCCAGTAGTTAAAAATCAAAATACTTATAAAATGCAGTTGCAAAAAGTAGAAAATGAACTATCAAAATTACCACCTTTAACAGATTTACAGAAAAAACTCTCTGATTTTTATCGAGTAGCTGTTGAGTATCTAGAATATCTCAAATATTTAAAACCCTATTTTTATGAGACGCAGAAAAAAGCAGTAAAAAATTTAACACCGGGTAGGATATTGTTGATATCATATGAAAATCATTATAGCAAATTAGCTCTATTATTGGCGATTGTCCAAAGTAAAGGTAGTCAACAATATAGAATATTAGTTCTTAAAAATTCTAAGACATCAAATCCTTCTGAGGAAATCATCCTAGAAAAAAGTCAAAAAGCTAGAAAGTCCGACAAATGGTACGATATTGTTGCTTTAACGAAAAAAGAAATATTTGTGCCAGTTGGAATTCCATCAGATGAAGTGTTAAATATAGCTGCATGGAATATATTGGAAATAACAAATTGTCAAATTAAAATAGATTGCAACTTAGTTTTGGCAAATTGGGAAAAAAGGCAAATACCAAGATTTAAGTAAGTAGAACAAATTTAAATTGAATTCTCTTGAAGTCTATAATTTATAAAATATCTAAAATCTTGAATTATTTTTAGAAATGAACCTCCTAGTCAGACATATCAAACAGCTATACAAGAATTAATGACATTATCTCTAAATGCTTTTCGTGATTCTTCTGTTCTAAAACCATGTTTAGAAATGAAAATGAATTATGATGTCGATAGAAAATTGAATCATTTATTTGATTTAAAGGAAGCTGTGGATAATGTAAAATGTACAGAGATGATAAATTTCGAAGAACAATTTGAAGTTGTGTATGAACGAAGTGAATTGGAAAGTGAAAAAAATAAACTACAACTAAAACTTAGTGATGAAGGATTAAGTTTATATCCTGAATATACAAATGCTGTTGCACTTCTTAAAGATTTAGGATATATAGATAATGATGAGAGAGGTTTGTTTTTTCTTTATAGAAATTATAAACACAAATTAATAATATATAATAATTTTGTTTTGTGTTTATAGTTGCATTAAAAGGTCGAGTTGCTTTACAAATGGGAAATAACGAACTATTAATTACTGAGCTTATTCTCAAAAATGTGTTAACTGTACTTCAACCAGCTGAAATAGCAGCATTATTATCTACTTTAATATTCCAACAACGAACTGATATTAAACCAAATGTAACACCAGAATTAAAGAAGGTATATATATTTTCTCAATCCAAATTAACTGTTTACCGTGATATTTAAATGTTTTTTTGTTACAGAGTTGTGAAATAATAAAACAAATACATGCCGAATTAGAAGCTTTAGAACAGCATTATCAGTTAGTAACATTACAGCCACTAAATTTTGGTTTAGTAGAAGTAGTTTATGATTGGGCACAAGCGAAATCATTTGCCGAGATTATGGAGAAAACAGATGTACAAGAAGGGATTATAGTACGATGTATTCAACAATTAAGCGAAACATTACGAGATGTAAAAAATGCAGCTACTACTATAGGTGATCCTGTTTTAAAAGAAAAAATGGAAGAAGCCTCTACTGTTATTAAAAGAGATATTGTTTTTACTGCATCCTTGTATACTCAAAATTAATCGTTTAACAAAATCTATGTATAATAATTTATTTTAATATGTAAATGTGCAGAATATTTTTTACTTTGATCAATGAAAGACATGTATATTTTTATAATTTATATACTATTTATGAAGTATATGTTGTCCAAAAAATGTACAGTATAATATTTCTTTACCATAAATGTAAAGTGCTGAGATTCCGTTTGGTCTGAAAATTATATTTCTTTATGTATAGATATATGATAAGAGTACAAAGAAGAGGAATAAAATTGTTATTAATATTGAATAATTCTTTTAATTTATAATGCTTACTGGTAAAAAATATTATTCTATATTTTATTTTCAGATATTACAGAGCACGCTGATCTGTGTTATTAAGATTTCCTTGACCTTTATTTGTCTCAGAAATGCAAGTCCATTGTCCTTCTGTATTTTCACGCCAAAGGGAAACTTTATTATCTCCACCACTAACAGCTAATATACCTCCAGTTAATGACCAACTAACATTCCAAATGACATCATCAAAAACATTGAGGATCGTTGGTGTCCAACTGGTATAATCATTGGAAGTCCATACAATTACACGACGGTCTTGCGAACATGAAGCTAAAGCTGCTTTGGATGGCCCAACTGCAGGTGCCCATGCAACATCCCTCACCTGTAAGAAACAAAATATTTAATTACTAGTTTTCTTTAATTTACATTTAACGATCTACATTTAAAAACTGGCATATGCATTACCCAATCACTATGTGCTTCGAGTTTGTCTTCTTCAATCCATCTATCACCTTCTTCTTTCCAAATTTTAACTAAATTATCACAACCTCCAGTAGCTAGTCTCTTTATTGCATCATTTTTTTGTGTTCCACTAGAATCAAAACTGGGTTCTATAGCAGGGCACCAACTTACCGCATTGCATCCAATGGTATGAGCATTTGTAATCTTTTGTGTATCCCATGTATCTCCATTATTAATAAGTATAGACACTGAACCATCTGAGCTGCCACAGGCTAAGATCAAGCCAAATTCATGTGGTGCCCAAGCTACTGAATTGACAGAGGAATCATGACCATTATGTTCATAAATCTTG